AAAGGCACCGGGCCGCCACCCTGGGGGTGGGGGGAGATTAGGGCTGGAGGCCTAAGCCCATCAAATCATATAATTTATCACTTTATTAAATATTTCTTCAAAATACTCTAATATTTTTGCATAAGCTAACACAAAATAACTGAGTATATTACGAACACGTTTGAAACTTATTTTGTGATCTGTTTTAAAAAAAAAAATTATGAGCTTCTTTAAATATTGGATTAAAACTATGGTTATTATGTGATAAATTATATGATTATTTTATAAATATCTAAGAAACAAGTTAATAAAATAAAGTAAAAAAAAAATTGAACTTTCTTAATGGGTCGATATGAAATGCAATCATTATTAGTTTGTCTTGTATCAATTTTTTTATGCACAGAAGACCCATAAATATTGGATATATAGATAAAATTCAATGGTTGTGGACGCTGCCCAAATCAAAGTTTGATGTGGTAGCTAGCTAGGTGCCGCTTTTGACAACTGAGCATGGTTGGGAGGGCCACTTGACCAGCCCACGCTGCAAAAATCAAAATTAGATTTGCATCGATTACTGTCAGCTCAAAAGCTGGTGGACTCTGATACGCTTAATGGTGGATGCAAGGGAGGTTTCGAGAGCAATTCTCTTCACTTTGCTTTGGTAAACGAATTACCACCAAAGAGAAGTTAGTACCCCTATCAAGCCAAGGAGGGTACCTGTGACTATGGCAAGGTTCATATTAATTTATTTTATATTTTAATCCAAAAGAAAATAATTCTTATACATCTACTACTGCCAATATTTTATATGTAAATTAATTACAAATTAACCCAAAATTGTCAACAATGTCAATTTTACTTTTCCCCAAGTATATAGGGTAATTATATTATTGTCCAAAAGATGGCGTTTAGTTTAACTTGCTCATTTTTTTTTCCACCATAAAACAGATCAAAGACAACCCACCTGGAGTGAAGGCGACGAAGGGCATTCCTGCCAAACCCAGGACCTATGGGACTCTGGGAAAGAGGAGCAGTGCTTGAGAAGCTTTTGGAGCTCTTAAGGAATGGATGAGGGTTTTGAAGTATTCAAACTTCTTCTTTCTCCTCCTTTCCTGCTCCAGTTTTCTCTCCTCTTTTCTCTAAGATATTTATCTCCATTTCCAGTCTTCGGAGCTCATTAAGTTTTGGTGTAATAAAGAAGCTTCTTCACCTCCTTTCATGGAAACTGATGGGACTCTTCTGAAAAGCCTATGATGAAGACACGTGTCCTCGGGGGTTTCCAGAACAATGTTGCTCGGGTTCGAGCACCATCGGCAAAAGGCGTCCTCTCCCCCGAGGTACCTCTCATATATGATCACTTATTCGGTGCATTATACAACGACACGTGTCCTCGGTCACTGTGTATCTCGGAACATACCACCTCGGTCCCCGAGGTGAGCCTTCCCTCGGTGCCGAGGGTCACTCCATCCTGGACGCTTCCTCTACTCCCGGATAAAGCTACTGACGTACGGGACATCAGCCTATGCCAGTCTAGACTATTCATCATGACCTCGTCTTACACAAGTAATGTCAGAACATGCTGGAATACAGAAGTCATAGCCAATACGTGACGGACGCGTGGCATACGATATCACATCAAAAACAGGCAAACCGCATGCTGTTGCTGACATGCGCTTTGGGAAGCAAACAATTAATTGCACCCTTCTTTTGACGAGACCGCATTCAATGCGGTAAGGTTCGGATATGAAAGGCAATAAATGCTCTTATTACGGAGCATTTATTACATCCTTCCCGAAAGGAGCATATTGTACCGTCGACATCCCAACGACTCAACATTGATTGCTCGGGACCCCGAGCAGTCAATTAGAGAAGACATTCCTCATCAAATCAATACACACGCTACCTGTGCCTGATGATCACCTACTGACCACACTGACAGCAATCATGAGCTTCTAAGGTATAAATACTCCTCCCAAAAGGCGAAGGAGGTATGCAATCACAAACTCACTACTACAAATTATCCTCATCAGTGTTTTCTCCTCCCTCTCTCTCATTCAAAGACTGACTAGATCGTCGGAGGGGATACGCCGGAAAACACTCCGGCGCCCTTCTAACTTGTTCTCCTTTGTTCCAGGAAATACCTTCCACACGTACAGGATCGTTCTTCCTTTCCCAAGGCCTTCCTTTGCCGTTCCAGGTTGTCACCGTACCTCGAAGGTTGTTTCAAGCAGCGTGTTTGGCCCCTCGACCGGCTCACTCACAGTTCACCAGAGAAGAGATCTGTTCCCATTATTATATATATAGTGCAGGATCGAGCCCGCACAGAAACTTTCATATTAATCAAGCTTGGAGCTTCTCTGGTGTGTGCAAATGACTCAGTGTAATATCTTGAGGCTTGTTTGTTTGTGAAAGCCAACTTGTGTCGATTTAGGGGTCACATTTAGTAACGTTTTTGTTTTCACGTCTTTAAAAAAATAAAAAATAGAGACAATTTTTTGTCTCTGTTTTATGTTAAACACTGAAACAAAAACATATTTGTGAGTCATTTGTATTTATCAAATTATGAGAATAAAAACAAAAAATATGTTTGATAACTACTTCAAGTTATATTATAATAATTAGTTTTATAATATTTCCTACTATAAAATACAAATCAAAACTCATAATTCATTAACCACATAGCAAATAACTTAGACGAATATTCCAAGACACCACACTTTACATACATCATAGCTATAGATACATTTTTTTTTAATGAAAGAGGAATTTTATTGAATGAATCAAAAAATTACCAGAATCAAAGAGAAAAACCAATTTACATCACATATATGACTTTAATCCATCAAAACACCCAAAAACCAAGAAAATTACTTCAGTGTTCCTTCGAATACAACAACTTCACAGCACCCAGATCAACCAGATACCAGACCTATTACTCAACCCTTATTATCACACACCAAGACCCTTTTGATCCTTAGAACAAGCAAACCCCTAAGGTTTGGCAACAAAGCCATTTAACCTCACTGGGCATGCACACAGGACCAGAAAAATCAAAGCAGTTCACTTTTTGGTACAATCGTTTGGTACAATCGTTACAGCCGTAACAATTCCTACTCCATCCAAATAATCAAAGTAGTTCACTTGTAGTTAATTGCAACTTCAATTTGGGGGGTATGGATTGTAGTGCTGGAATGATACTCAATTGGTTTTGCTGTCAAACATTTCATCGAATAGGTGGAGAGCAAGTTGACATTCATGAAAACACCCAACTCATACACATACACAAACCCAACTCCAACTCATACACATACACAAGCCCAACTCATAATCACACACTGAGAACACACACAGACACACAGAAGTAAACATAACATACGAGAACACACACACAAAGACTCACACACATAACCCCCACAAATCAACACATAGCCCTACAATCTAACTTAAATCTAACAAATCTAACTCAGACAAGAGAGTGGCAGAGATAGACCTTTGGGTCTTCGTTGCATGGACAAGAGAGAGACCTTCTGTCTTTGTTACAGAAAGAGAGGCGAGAGATAGCTTTGACGAGTCTTGTTGCACAGACAAAGAAGTGAGAAAGAGAAAGAGAGAGAGAGGGGATGGCGAACGAACTGAGAGTCTCGTTGCACAGAAAAGGGGAGAGAATTAAATGAATTTTTATACTTCAACAATATGTTTTGTTGCTAAGAAGAGTCGAAGCTTGAATCTCATTAATTTCTCTTAGTCCTTGTGCGCGTTGTCTCTGTTTCCCTTATTTCTTAAAACATCTTTTTTTTGTTTCCATTTTTTTGTCTTTGTTTCCAAATAACTAATATAAAAAAAAAACAGTTACCAAATATATTTTTGTTTTCATTTTTAACAAAAATTAAAAACAAAAACATAAAATACAAGACTAAGACAGTAAACAAACAACCCCTTGGGTTAACTTCTTTTTATTCTTAGGAAATTTGGCTTTCCACCACTTCACCATCTATCGTGAAAAGAGACACTTCTTTTCCATCCATCTCATTTTTCTCTCCCACTTTCCATCCAACCATTTTTCCTTCACACCAAATAGTCTATGAGTTTAATGTCCAGCAAATCAAAAGCATTAACTATAAAAATTTGATGAAACAAGTGAAAATGCACTAATCCGGAAGGTCCAAATTAACATTTAAATGTGGCCATCTGGATACAGTCAGATTTGACTGCTACAAAAATGACTAGCTATCATATTTTACTCAATATGGGAGATCGCCTATCAGATAATCAAGTGAAACCCACAATTAACAAGTGGGACCCTCACTTATACATGATAGTGATTTACCATTAAATAAAAATTGAATGAAAATGTAATATAGATAATCTGGATTTTATCATTTAATGAGTTAAGGAGCATGAGGTAACACACTAGAAAACATGTATCATATTCATGGCTGCAACTCAATGAATAAAACACCATAACCCGATGCATGAGGCTTTCATTAAAGTGGTTTTGAGGGGAGTCAAATATATGCAAGTTGCATGGTGAGCGATTGTTTTCGTGATTGAACACACTACATCTAAGCCATAATGAAACAACCTCATGATAACATCAATGCCTACCCCAATGGCAATTCGATGGATAGGAGCACTAACTACAAATCCTACAACAAACTTCCAAGCTTAAAACTTTGCTAAGAATCAAAAGCAGCAAGCAGGTATCAGCCCAACTTGGAAGCCTAAGAAGTATAAATTGTTGGGCAAAAGGGCACTTACTCAGAAAGAACATCCAAGGAATGACCATCCCTTCCTGTTCATTAATTGCGTTCTTTTCTTTTCCTTGTCCTCTCAGGGAATGAGCATTCTAATAAAAACTTCTCACGGGTCCATTTACAAAATCTAGAAAAAATGAGAGTGTAGCCAGCATGAGAACCAAATCTAAGCAAAACTTGTTCTTCGAAGTCAGGTGAAATGGCGCACACTTAACAAGCAGAATGGTTTTCCAAAAAAAAAAAAAACAGCCAGAGTGCAAGCACATATGGGAAAAATCTCAAATTTGCATTAGGATTTCTACATTAAATACATTACACAGGGCAATTCAATCTATACATTGAGACAGATTTAAATAACTCAATTTCTTATCGAAAGGGTGGAGCACTTAATAAGAAAGTATTGGGCAGTAGGTAAACCACCTCATTCTTCTTCTCCCAAAGAAGATCCTAGGGGGCTTAGCTTAAAATAAGAGCTTAAAAGAAAAAAAAATCAAACATAAGAGCATAGAGTTGATTGCTTCCGCCAAACTTCGAAAAGCTCCAGCTTCAAGAGTAATAGAATTTAATGCCCTAAACAAACCTGTGAGTCTGTAGCATTAAATGGTTCAATCTAGCTAGAGCCTCAAGGCCTTGCAGTGTTCGTGTTGTCAGTGGGCACTACTTTCTTCCCTGTATAACGCTGAAAAACAGGAAAAAAAACTTCAATCACATTGCAGGCTTGAGGGTACAGTGCCAAGTGGAAGATGTAATAAAAGGAGAATTCATTACACACCAACTCAACAAAATTGTGTATTTAATCATTTGCAATATCAAATACCTGTTTGCCCAAGGAGAACGGAACATAACGGTATTTAATCATGTGCATTATCTGCCTCTTCATTGTTGAAATGAATAACACCAGCCAATAGAATAATAGAATTGGCCAAAATACAGGCACGTCAAATGCACTGAAGAATGAAAGCACAAAAGCAATGCAGAAGGCTTTTGTGATTGAGTGCCTGTCATACAGATTGAAGAACAAAACTCAAATTTTCCACAGATTGAAAAACAAAACTCAAATTTCCCATCTTGCAGCTAAAAATTGGCATTTGTATTGGTTACTACTAATAACTATGAGAAACTCTGCTTTGTATATATTTTTCACACAGAACATATTCACAATGGATGGTCTTATGTAGACCAATGAAATGATTCGAATTTGATATAAAAGATAAGAAACGATAAGTGCTAGATCTGCAATACAAGTTGAATTCAAACAAGGATAAGATTAGTTGTTAACTAATCTTTATCTCTGATAAAAACACAGAAGCTGCTCGAAGGTACAACCAGCCTTCAAGATCAGATGAATAAGCTAGTAATATATCATCAATTCTTTTCTCAGCAGTGTTCTGTAATTTTAGAACTTGCAACATTGGGTTTTTATCAAAACTGAAGACTTGATTTTGCAAGGGTTGTTATCAAGCACCATAAATTTGGCAAGTGTAAGGCTAATGCTATTTCATCTCCATATCGAGATAAAACTTATGGCGCTTCAAGGACAACAGCAATGCCTAGAAAAAACCAAATACAGGTACTGTCAAGTGTGAAAAGACACAATTACCTAAAGCCTAAGGTGGAGTTTAGCCTCAGATACTGGGCACAATTAAATACAATAATCTACTTTCAAATTTGGCTCAGACTCCAATTAAACATAGAGAAAATTAAACTGTCAACGCTGAACCAGACTAATTCAGATCTATAACCATTAAAAGACAATAGTTTCCACATCTGAAGGATTACTATCACCTGATCCAGAATCTGATACTCCAAACACTGCATACATACGTTCATACAAATACAGATGTACATATTTTATAATTCATCATCTGAATCAATTATTACAAAGAGAAAAAGAAACACACCAGAACTTGAACTCGGGAAGGCGGCGAACGAAGGGCCGGAACTCGTCGGATCCACGGGTGGGGAGTGAAGGACCGTCACTGAGTTCCTGGATCTCGGGATCTACCTGAGGAGACAGGAATGCGATCAATAGCTGGAGGATGTAGATTCCAAGCCCGTACGTGATGATGTAGTATCCCTGGACCAGGTACACGCGTACAGCGTAGATTAATGCGACGAAAGAGAACCCGATCCAACGGCGGAGTACGTGTGGTGTCGATTTATCGAGGACATATTGGTACCTTTGTGACACGGAGTAGCACCACTGCGATAGCGAGGAGGAGGCGGACGAGTCGTCGCCGGCGCCACCAGTCCCGCCACCAAGATTCATCTTTGTTTTTATTTTCCTAAATTCTCTCTCTCTCTCCTCTTTGGTCGTTTTTGTTTTGTGGGAAAGGGATACAGCGTGAGAGCGCACGCCTCTCGATTCCCGTCGTGCTTATTACCAATTTACCAACCGAAGAGACCAACGGTCGTGGAGAGTCCAAGACTGGACGCGGTTATCCCTCTGATATGGGCTTAGGCCCAACATATGATATAGCTACTTAATAAAGCCCGATTAATGTCCATAGCTTTTCAAGGACGATTCGCAATGAACCAATCAAAAGCCATAATCATAATCAAATCCATGATAAACTAAGCCCAATTATGGCCCATCATTTTTAAGTGACAGTGAAGCCCATACCAGGCTCATAATTATTTCATATAAATTCCTGAAGGCCGAACAAGGCCCATCATTATTTCACATTACAGTAATTACTTTCCAAATGGGTACTATTTTAAAAAAGAAAAGAAAAAGAAATTGAGAGCTACAGAGCTTTTGAAATTAGTTTTGATGATGCACAAAATGTATTTATTTACCACTTGTCAAATATTTAATATATTAATTAAGAAAGAAAGTCAACACAAGCAAAACACAATTTAAGTGATTCGGTCAGAATGACTTACTCTACTGTGAACAACTATGATGACCTGAGTATTTTATTACTTAAAGAGTGTAGAGTGTTTAGATGTGAGTGATATGTGAGAGATGTCCCTCTTGTGTAGATGGAACTTATAATTTATAGACGTCTCTGAACAGATTGAAGCATTATTCTTGTAATAGGTGAGGTAGTTTGGTGGAGATGACGTTATTCTCGTGATAGACAACACAATTTCGTGGCCGCCTCCCACGGTAATCTCTTTATGTGTCAGTTGTGGACCCAATCTTTCAAGATGGTGCAACTAACCTGACTGAGCTTCTTTCATCATGCGGTGGGCTTAGCCTGTATGTTGAAGTGATTTTAATCTGCAGTTCTAGGTCTAGTCTGTATTTTTAAACAGGGTCTTTGAATTGAGTTTTGGTCTATAATTTTGGACTAAAAGTCTGAGCCGGGCCCGTCAAGCATAACTAGCAAGCATCTGATAGTTGAAGTCGTACATCCTGCTTTTCCCTGATGAAGATATAGACGATTCGAACCTTATACAGGGGGAAGGAGACTGGAGAAACCTTTGGGATACGGTTATAAAAATCAGAAATAAAAAAATGAATAATAAAACGTTAAAGAAACAGATTAATAGGCAAAATGCAAGAATAACCAATTCCAACTTTACTTAGTTTCGAATTACATCACACGATATTCTTCATTTACATGGAAAAAAAAAAGGTAATTTTGTTATACTTAAGACAAATGAGTTAAAAAAAAAAATGCATTTTGATGGATTTTCAAAAGGTTTAATATGTTTTGGAAATGAAGATGTCTTTGGACTTGGAAAAAATGGGAAATAGAGTTATTCACTCGTGAACTTTCAGTGTTCTAGATTTGGAGATGATGTAGTAAAATCGATCAAGCATTCTACTTGAAACCAAAAAGAGATATAGAAATCTTAGAGTTCTAATAATAATGCTCGAAGTTTAGAAAAAATGGAATTTTAGTCAAATCAAATAATAAGAGGTGCATACATGACTAATCACCTACGTGAAGAGTATTTTACCGTACATTTATACCTATAAACTAATGTACATGACTGCTACGCCAGTTGGATAAAGGAAAGAATTAGTCTATGAGGTTTCAGGTCAAACTAAGAAGCTGATAAGGAATTGATGAGTTGGGTTTTTGACCTTTTGATCGACAATTTTGGCATTGACTTTGTGCAACTTGAACGGAAGAAATGCAACACAATAATGTATATAGATCTAGATTTTCTATCTTGCTGCAACTACCGTTCTGTATATTCTCTCTAATAACTACATCCATAACAAAAAAAAAACTACCTTCTACAAATAGATCAATATTTTTTAACCTAATTTCTTAATTTGATCCATCATAATCGTTATATTGACAGTGAATTTTATGTAATCGGTCTATCATTGTAGTGGTGTTAAAGTTGATTCAGAGGTAGACAATTATATGAATTAGGATGTATACATACGTTCTTATGCAACATAGGCTATACACAGTAGCACTCGCACTTTGGCAAATAGTGGTCTATAAAATGGGCTAGATATATAGTCGTAGTCTTCCCTCTCAACTGATCAACTGCAGCACATGGTGCCAGACCAAATGGTCGACTAATTACAGCCCACTGCTGATCTTGGTGCCAGGAAGCAGACTTTGATTAAGTCAACTCTCCAATCCAATGGAAGAATTCCTCCCTCAGTTTCCTCCAACCCCTTATATAGTAGGCCTCATGTTATCAAGATAGCATACGGAGGAGTTTAAGTCATGGTAGGCGCACCCATTCCTTCTCTGGAGTTGTTCATGGTACATCATCTCTTCCATCCACTCTCATCTTCTCCTTTGTTCCATGTTTTATTTTTTGTCTTCTTACTTCTAATCTTCTCCATTAATGCTGCAATATATATTGTGTGTCTAAAGGCCACTGCTTTCTGTTTGCAGCTGTGAAGGAGAAGGTGCAGGAGAAATTGGACTCTTCTAGCACAACAAAATATGCTCCACCAGGAACACCATATGCAACACCAAATTCATCCATTTCACCATTCCCCCGTATAAAAACTCACCAACATTTCCTACAGCTCCTTACCAAGTAGTCACAGCCACACCTTATTCTGCAGCACCTCCAAACATGGTGCGCCACCCCAAATTCATCTCCCTACCCGAGTGCGACACCTATTCTGCCGCATCTCCACCACACATGATCACCACCCCAAATTCAGCTCCTTACCCAGCTTCCACACCCTACTCTTCTGCACCTCCATACATGACAACCCCACCAAATTCATCTCCTTTCCAAGCTGTCTTAACCTATTCTGCCAACACCTCCCAACGTGCCAAACTCTCCATATTCATCTTCCATGTCTCCTTACACCACATACCCTCCTGATTCAGCCCCAATACCTCCAAGCACAACCTATCCTCCTAATTGCTCATCTCCTTTCTCCACTTATCCTCCCAATTCAGCACGCGCCATATCCCCAAGCTCCTAACCCTTCCACTCAATCACCTGAAAATCTTCTTCAGTCATGTCCTCCTCCGGCAGGCTACTCTTCACATCCATACCCGCCTCCTCCTCAGGCCACTACTTCACAGCCGTACC